ATCGAAACATGGGGTATTTTGAAGTCGATTTAAAAAAAAAAAAACGCTCGGACACGTCAATTTAGTATTCAAGGAAGAAACTTTTTGACCCTATCGGTACGCTAGGGTGCACCCCTGGGTGGGGTGACTATCACCCCCCTTTTTTAGATAGAGAAGATGAGTCGAGTGGTATTTTCTTTTTTTCAGAAGCACTCAAAAAATGAATATGTAAGTGTCCGAGAGGAAAGTCAGGAATGTGTTGATTTGAGAATAACAGTGCCAGAAGATTGTTTCCTATTTAGCCCATGGCAACTTTGACAGTGGATATATTGAGAACTAATCATTCGATTTTCAAAAAAAAACGCAGTTGTGACGAGAATCAAAATATTCTTAAAAAAAGGGACCACTCGAGCCATCTTCCATATCTCAAAAAGAGGGGTGAAAGTTACCCCTCCCAGCGGGTGCACCCTAGCAAAATACCGATGGAGTCAGAAAGTTTCTCCCTTGAATACAAAAATGATTTCTTCGAGCGCTTTTTTAAGTACACCGTTTTTTTTTCTCTCTCTCATTTCTATGGGCGAATGTACATTCATTGCACGTAGGCCGCCTGTCCGGGCCCGTTGTGCGCCCACTTTTGTTTAAACTAGCCCCGTGGCTCTGGCAAATGCACAGAGCTTTCGGGGTACACCGTTCTGATCCTGGCAATAGCTGGTCATTCGGTAAGGACATGGATGGAAGTTTCTTTATCCTCCAGACAGAATCTGCACTCAGGGTCATCTACGATCCCCATCAAGTGCAGATGTCTGTTGAGCTGACAGTGTCCGGTGAGAAGTCCTGTCAGCAATTTTATGTCCTTCCTCCCAAGCTCCAGGATAACCTTGCTCTCGCTTGGCTTCCTGGTTCCCATTAGCAGTTTGGCCTGCCTCTGCCTCCTTTAAAAGTGCCACTGCTGTCGAGTTTGGCAGGCCTATTACTGGTTCAGGACCCATTACTGAATCTGCCGAGCCTTTCCTCGAAGGTCAGCCTCTTCGTTGCCTCGGACATTCGAAAGTACCGGTAACCATACGAGGTTGATACTGTTGTGTCTCGCTATAGTGCACAGCGTAGTTTTGCACTCTGTCACTATCGCTAAGTCCACCCGCTCGGATGACAGTGCCTGCAGTGCCGCTCTGCTGTCCGAGTAGACATAAATATCCTGAGGTATTTATAAAGGCATGTTGGAGGTTTTCGTGACCACATTTTAGGATGGCATAGATCTCTGCCTGGAAGACGGATGCGTACGAGCCAAGGGCATAGGATAACCAAGCTCTCGTGGTTTCCCCGTAGACGCCCGCCCCTTCGCTGCTGCCCGTCTTTGAGCCGTCTGTGAACCGGAATACTTGGTTGGCGGGCCTCGGCGTGTCTGCTGTGTTCCCTCACTCATCCCTACTGGGATAGGAGAATTTGAGGGGTCCATATGGCTGGTTGGTAGGTAGAATCTTATCTTGTTTCATCAGCAGGGCTTGGCAGCTTTGCGTTGCCTCTCGCCAAATACTTATATGTCTCCGGGGACATTTATTGTCCCTCAGGTGTCCAAGTCCCTGCAGCTTGTATTCCGACCTCAGGGCTTCGTTTTTCAGAAATAGATGAAGAGGTGGTAGCCCGATCGCATGGCACCAGTTATCCCAATGCAGGCAAGTCTCTGGACACTGTCTAGCAGATTCCTGGCCTTGGCCGTCTTTGTGCCGGGCCACCAGATAATGGCACCGTAAGTGATAATGGGTAGTATGATTCCCGTGTATATCCAATGCAGGATTTTGGGTTTTAGACCCCACGTAATGTCAAAGGCTCTTTTACATACCCATAGAGCGTGTTGAGTTTGTAAATTATTTTCTATTATTTACCTAAAACTATAATCATTTTTTTTATTTTGGCGACGCCGTTTTATTTGGGCAACATTGCTACCGACGGCTTCATGCCGATGGCCCCAAGAGCCAAGAAATTATTGATTTCGATTCTGTTCTACCTTTGAGTACCGTCGAGATGTAAGAAAAATATCTCCGGTCTGCATTTTGACTTTTGTTAACATCAAAAATAAAATAAAAGTTATATAACTAAAATAATTATTGTGCTTTACTATGAAACACTATATTTATCAAGTGGTACGTCGAGTAGAGTAATTGCGAGACCCCACAAGACGCAACAGAGCGTTATAGGCTTTCTTGACTTTACTGCTTAGTCGACCTTAAAATACCCAAAACGCCTTTGTTTCGATGTTCGTCAAACACCCTGTATATATATTTTCTTGACTCGCTTCAACTGCTGATATTATCGTTTAAAGAATCAATAGTGAATGCTTGTATACTCCGTAATCCCTATATTATCTATCAGTTCTGTCTGGTGTGATGCCGAATTTTCTTGAATTTCCGTATCTTCGGCAGACAAATTTGATGTTTGTCTCACTGTCACTTTTATATTTAGTTTTTGAGTATGGTTTCACACTTACAAAACCAGCCCCCAGAATCATATCCATTAAATTGCTAGGAAATACTGGCAAGCGTTTGGCAATTGATCATTTAGGTAAATCGAAAATAACATAAAAGTATCAGCACTTAATAGTGGCCAGCATTTGACATAAACTTTCGGGGCTGTTGTAGCCCACTAATTTGGTCATGTATTTTATAAATTATTTTTTGTATGTAATGATTAGGTATATTCAGGCAAAAATGCTTACCGTTGGATAATAAATCTTCACTTTTAACCAAAAACAAGATGAAATCTTACAAATGGCGCAAAATCCACATATCATGTATATTTGTTCGGCTTTGAAGTGGCAAATCTGGGTTTCCATCAGATTGGTACAATACGTGCCAGCCAATGAACTAAACAAACACACTGAAGCGGCGGCTGCATAACAAGAGCGATTTGTATCTCTCTGCACTATGGCGGCTAATTGAGAACAGCTGTTGAAGTGTTTGGATCATTGAGGTTAGGAAGAAGAAGAAGCTCTTCTTTTACATAAATAATAATGAGTGCTAGCGAGACAAAAATCACTCCATATTGCTAGTTGCATACATCAAAATTTGCCTCACTAGCATAAAGCAGTGCGCCCGTTCCAGTGTGTTTTTTCTAGTTCAATGGTGCCAGCTAGTTTACTGTAGTTAATGGAGAAAAACATAAAAAGGAATATGAGAAGAATAAGTGGATGTGTTTATTGATCTACATCTGGCGATGTTTAATGGCCAATCAGAGAAGTAAATAAGATCTACAATGCACTAAGACTCTTTCACAATAAAGTTTCCGCTCATAATTGGTGTAGAAGTGAATTTGAGTCAATATGGCCATCCACTGCCGTTGCGGAACGGTATTTTAGAAGATCTGACAAACCAGTAGACAAGGATCTGCAGGAACATATTACTTCCCTATTCGGAACTGAGCTATACTTTGCTTTTCGCTTCTATTTTAGTAGATCGCATTTGCCACAATTGCAGCACGCAAAAATACATAATATTTACAGTGTGTTAGAATTTAGTGATATGCAGACGTTAATTAAAATTGATGGAAAATTTTCTTGCCTCGACTAGGATTTGGACCCAGGACCCTAGCATATCCAGTGCAGTGCTCTACCAACTGAGCTACCGAGACCTGTCTAATTTCTACCTTGTCGGTCAAGTATTGCATCAATTTTTAGTTGTTAAAGATCTTAAATTTGATAATAGACTTGACCAAGAAGGTAGAAATGAGACAGATCTTGGTAGCTCAGTTGGTAGAAGACTGCACTGAATATGCGAGGGTCTTGGGCTCGGATTCCGAACCTATGATTCGATATATTGTCTATCTTCAGATACTTTTGCACTAGTTTATTTGGCCCGACACGGTGCACTCCCGTGGCCGCGTTTGGGTTTACGCTCGGCAAAACGAGCAGAGCGAGCAGGGAGTAACGTGACATCACAGGAAGTGCACCGTGTCAAGCCAAAAAAAAAAGTACCTGAGGATAGAATATCTATTGAATCGGTTCAAATCCTAGTCGAGGCATGAAAATGTTTCATCAATTTTAATTAACGTCTGCATGCCACTAAATACTAGCACACTGTCAATTATATCACAGACGATAAAACTTGTAAAAATAATAATGATTACATACAAACTGATGTATTCTGTTTGAGATGAAATTTGATAAGCAATATTTTTTTCCGCAATTCTTTCTCGCACAGTCAACAGAACAACCATTTCCACTTCAATAGTTTTTCAGACCAAGGAGATTCAAATTTTGAAAAACAAAAAAACGAGCGAGTAAAAAAGGCACTGACTCGAACTTTTATCCATCCACCAAACCTGGACAGACACGTATTTAATTAGTTTTACTTTTTTTACACTAACCGTACTACGCTATCGGCTTCTTTCAAGCCATCAAATTTTTAGTATAGTAAATGAGGGCAGCTGATACCTAAGAGATTAAAACACAAGAAGACCAATAAATATGTAAGTATAATCATATTTTATTCGAAATTTAAAAATTAATTTGTATTATTTTTATCAAGACCTCCAACTCTCCGCAAATAAATATATAGAGATTAATGGCCATTTGCACCGACCATTTTAAGGAAGCGTTAGCGATAAGTATTCCTTAAAGTGACATTCCTCCATGTGAAAATGTCATTTTAACGAATACTTACCGCTAAGACTTCCTCAAAATGGTTCTCACACTATATTAAAAAAAAAAAATAACAATCGTTGGCATTTTGTTTTGCACAAGATTCAACAACTTCAAATAGAAAACTAACCATATACGTATAATAGCTACAGTGAAAAGAAAATAATAACTAAAAAATAAACTTTTGAGAATCGACAATTGGGATTTAGTTTAAACATTACATCAGTGAGTTCTATTTTCAACTTTGAACCTTTATTAAATTAAATAAAAAATAATCACATAAATCTATACAAGAGCCTAATCTTGAAGTGAGATTCAAATAAATAATAATTTGAAATTGGGCAAGTCTAAATCAAGTTAGTCTGTTCAGTTGTAATGTTTTTAAAACTCACCACAAAGGCTTCACCTTCGTTTCACGAAGTACAGTAACCTTTTGTGAATTAGTATAATCCGTAGGATACAAATCCTTTCTATGTTCATGATTGTGTTCTCCAAGAACATTGACGATATTGCCAGCAGTAAACAACTTGGCTCTACATTTTGTTCTGTAGTAGTAGCTACACCTCCAAGAAGTTTTTCCTGCCGACTTGAAATCTATTCGGTAGTCTACGCCTTCGAAGATTATTTTTGGATGTTTGTAGCCAAACTTGTAGTAAACTACATCTGAAAATGATTCTACTAGAGAAGGAAAATTTAAACATGGTACATAGATCTTAGTGCAGTTACTGGTGAACCTGGCCCAGAATTCTCAATAGAACATTGCCAGGATTAAATGGAAATAATTATTATTTATAAATATTAGGTAGGGAAGTTCATTCTCATGATTTCAGTAAATAGTGAAATGATAAGGTATTGACAGAGTAGGAGTTAATTTGGCCGCACAAAAAAAAAATCTGCTCGATCTAGCAATCGCCTGTCGCACTGAGGAGTATCAGACAAAACTATACAGGCTGTCAATTTGAAAACTTTCAATGCGAATATCTCTGAAAGTGAAAAAGTTAGTAAAACGTAATTTGGTAGGTACAAATGTTCTACAGGTAGGGGGAACTATATAGATGCACCATATTTTGGTTATAATAAGCCCTTGGGGCCCCATGCACCCCAACCCGAATATTTTAAATGGTACCACCCCTTTCTGTGATACCCGATTAAATCTTTTTTGGAAAAAATCTTGTGCAGATGGATACTATACTCAAAAATATTTGATTTTAGGTATCACAAAAGGGGTGGTGCCATTCAAAATTTTGAGGTTAGGATACATGGGGCCCAAGAGGTCACTCACCCCATAACCAATATATGGTGGTTCTAGTTCCCCGTACCTGTATAAAATTTGTACCAAATTACGTTTTTCGAACTTTTTTACTTTCAGAGATATTTGCATTGAAAGTGTTCAAATTAAAACCCTGTATATATGTACCAATAGTCAACGTAAAATTCCACCTCTTACCCCCATTGCTTTTAATTGCACTCAAATTATGTTTGATCCCCTTGAATCTTTATGTTATTCTTCGAATTTATCATGCTTCATCAATGTTCGTCATCAATTCTTTGGTAATTATTCACATTTCTCCTGTATGTTGGTTTTCTTGTGTCTGATGTTCACACGCATCTACCTATTTCTCAGTAGTTTTATCTGGTTTTTGTCACACTAGAGTGCAAGACTATCAAGTTCAGATTGCAAATACATAGAAATTATAGGAATCTGTAAGTCTTCGTACAGACTTGAACCACAGCATCTTGAACATTACGCCGAACACCAAACAGAACAACGAACCGAACGACGATCGAAACACTTATTCGTGTCTTCACTTATCGCGTTCGTAGCCCCGTCCAAATTAATGCATCGATTGTCCTTCGGTTCGATGTTCTGTTTGTTGTTCCCTCGGAATGTTCAATTCTGTATGAAGCTTTACACTCCCGTTTCGATCAGTCAATTAGCTCCCGTCGTTACCAAGCTGAAACTGGGCGGCCTCTGGTTTAATTTAGCCTTCTTACACTAATGCGGAGCTCTGGTGTGAGAGACGTTTTTATTCTCTTGCCACTCGTGAGAACAAATATAGACCAAAAACAAAACAAAAATAAACCTAAGGAGGACTCAGAAATGAGCGACCCCTCATCAACAACATCCATCACCGAAGGAGGAGCAGCTTCGGCAGCAGACTCCTTAGTTGAGGTAGCCACTAGAGCAGACTCAACGACGGCGGTGGAAAGCATTGCAGGGGACCTATTTAAGATAAGTCTAGACAACAAGAAAATATCTGGTGCAAAGCTGAGAAAGCTGAAAGGCCCAGAAAATAGCCGCAGGTACCTGGACTAGATAAAATCCAGGCAGGGCGAAGAATGCGAGAAAACAAAGCGACAGCAAGAGCGATGGTAAAAAAAGACCACGGTCAGATAACGCTGAACTCCCAGCCAAACCTCTAGGCGTGCTAACCCACAGACTAGCTCCTACAGCGTCGCGGCAAGTATGGTTGTCATCGACAGCAAACATACTGGAGTAAAAATTAATCAAGGGCAAGCAGACCTGATCAAAAACAAATTGGAGGAAGCTGTCTTCAATGCGCCAGGGGCAAGCAGTGAAAAACTCCAGTTTAACAGAACCACTTACCATGTAGGTTCTATGGAAGACCTGCGGTAATGAGGCCACGAAAAACTGACTGGGACAGCCGGTGAAGGAACTGAGAGAACTCTGGCAGGGGGAAAAGCTAAAAATGTTTGAAGCCAAGGATCTGCCAAAGCGACCACTGGTGCTGATCTTCATACCTGGAGCAAAGTCAGTTGAGGAGGAAACCATCAGAGCACGATTTGGCAAACAGAAACACTGGATTCTGAGGTCCCAGAAGGCGGAAAAAGGAGCACTGACGCCAACGTACTCCATAAACGAGGCGTCATTTGGGGCTTTGCAGGCCAACCCATTCAAGATGTTTTACGGACTTGCGAGGTTAACCTTCAAAGAGCTGAGGATTCTCGATTGAGGGGATCAGGGTCCTTCAAATAAACCTGCAGCACAGTAAAGCTGCCTCTGCCGCTCTAACCAGGCCCATGGGAAAGTACGACATTGCACTCGTACAGGATCCATGGGTAAGTATAGGGAAAATTGCAGGCCTGTTAAGAATTATTGGAGAGCTGATATACAGCAGAGCCACTGATACCCTCAGAGCTTGTATACTAGTTGAGAAAAACATAAAAACGTCACCGCTAACGGAATTCTGTTTTACGGACCTTGTTGCGGTAAAAATTAGATTGTCAGCTTGAGGTGATGATCCTCAAGAGCCACCATCCAGGTAAGTAGATACTGGTAATGAGTTGCGGAATAAAAGGATCGCAACTCATAATGGGATGTGATGCGAATGCGCACCATACTTTATGGAGCAACACGAACATCAACAATAGAGGTGAGTCATTACTACAATTTATTATGGCAAATAGTTCAGACATATTAAACGTGAGAAATAAACCCACCTTTGTAACAACTGAAAGAGGTACTCGACGTCACGTTATTTACGACATTTGGTAATGGCTTCGTGAAAAAGTGACACATTACAGACACATTAGCTTTGAAATTACAGGACACAGTCTTGAAACTGAAACTTATCGGACCTCCGCAAAATAATCTGGAAAGCTTATTAGGCAGAGCTGGAGGTTAATTTGCGGGACGTAAAAACGACGATAAGAAACACCGTAGATTTGCACCTAGCAGCGGAACAGCTGCAGACCGCTGTTACATCCTCCTACATGAACAACTGCCTTACAATTACGAGTAATCCCAACAGGAATGTGCCCTGGTGGAATAACAACCTCGAAAAACAAAGGAAGGAAACTTTTCAACAAAGCAAACCGAACAGGAGAGTTGAGCATGCACCGGAAAGCTCTGACTGAATACAATAGATCCCTGATAGCTTCCAATAAGGAATCATGAAGAAGACATTGTGAGGAGGTTTTCATCCCCAAACCTGGCAAAACAGGACAGGACAATGCAAAAGCTCTGAGACCTATAAGCCTCATGTCATTTTTGTTGAAGGTGGTGCATTGGCTAACAAACCAATACATCAGGACCAATATGCTTACAAAGCAGGAACCTCAACTGAAACAGCACTTCATCACCTTGTCCAGCGTGTAGAAAGTACGTAGGAAAATAAGGAATTTATGTTGGGAGCCTTTCTTGATATAGAGGGAGCGTTTGACAATACTTCTTTTGAGGCAATCATGAGAGCTCTACGTCGACGAGGTATTGATGAAACATGTTGTAGATGGACAGACTGCATGCTTCGAGGTAGAGTCATCTACTCAACGCTCCTCGGTAATACAGTAATGACCCGAGAGCAACGGGATGTCCGCAGGGCGGAGTGTTATCACTCTTGCTGTGGAATCTGGTGATGGACGAGCTGATAGAGCTACTAAAGAGCAAGAACCGTCAAGTGGTGGGACATGCAGATGATTTATTTATAATATCCCAGGGAAAATTCAACCATACAGTTAGAGATCGCATGTAGCAGGCAGAAAATTAGTATCAGCAAATCGACAATTGTCCCCTTTACCAAAAAAAAAAGGTTAATGGAGGGACTACCTACTCTCAGGGAAACCCAGTTACGATGTCGGACGAAGTTAAATATCTTGGGGTTATCATAGACTCAAAATTAACCTGGGAAAAGTTATTGAAAGGTCAGAACTGGCACTTATACTAGCGAGGAGAACTTTTGGTAAAACATGGTGGCTGCGGCATGGACATGACGGACTGGTTATACACAGCGGTTATAAAGCCAGCGATAACATATGCATCTTTAGTATGGTGGACAAAGACATAACAAGACAGGGCCGGAATGAGACTTGGCATGGTTCATAGACTTGCCTGTCTGAGTTTAACAGGGTACTATGGAAGTCCTGCCAGACCTACTTCTGTTACACATGCGGAAGCCAGGATTGATCTCCACAGACAACGGAACAATCTGAGCAAACCAACAGTCAGATCAGGCCACACACAAATAAGGGTCATAAATCTGACAGTAAATCTGACAGTATTCGACATGATAACTATACACTTCCCAAATACTCACCCGACATATCCTTCCAAGTCCTACTTAGTTAAAGGGAGGAATGGGAAAGCCAACATGCTCTCTCCAATCTCAAAGGCCAGACCTGGTACTCGGATAGGTCAAAAACTGAGAATGGCGCAGGAATCTACAGTCAAGAAGGAAGATGCGAGACTTTCTTCTCTCTAGGGTCGCATACATCTGGTTTTCTAGGCAGAGGTATATGCAATACTACAATTCGTAAGAATCAATAATATGAGGGCCAGCAAAGACAGAAGACTCTCTTCACCCACAGACAGTCAGGCAGCAATGGGAGCCTTAAAGAACCCTAAGGCAAGCTCTGCACTAGTAATAGAATGCCGAGAAGAACTCAACAAATTGGCGGACTAAAATAACGTCAGGGGTGCCAGGACAGTATCCCGCTGTGTAGGGTGACTTTTCGCATAATGCATTCAAGAGATTAGAAAGTATTGAACGGGAGCTTACAAAAAACGAATCATTCAGAAAACATTACTTGGAGTTCATGTCTGAATATGAATTTTTGGGTCATATGACACAAATTGATCCCAAAAATATTAGCAATTTTCTAGCAGATTCTACTTGCCCCACCATGGGGCAATCAGTGAGTCAAGTGAAACAACAATGTTGCGTGTTGTGTTTGACGGATCTTGAAAATCCTCATCAGGAGTCAGTGTGGATGATATTTTGAAGGTTGGACTTACAATTCGACCCGATCTGATATATCAACCATATTGTTCTGTTTTCGACAACACAATGTCGTTCTTACTGGCGATATAGCAAAAATTTATCGACAATCGTCAGTATTCTCAATATTCCAGCGTGATCTACAGCGTATTGTCTGGCGATCTGATATCACAAAGGAAATTAAGCATTATTGGCTTAATACTGTAATGGATGGATCAATTTCAGCATCATTCTTAGCTATTCATAGTCTGCCACAAGTGGCGGTCGGAAATTATAATAATTTCTCCTGAAATATCATCATTCTTAATTATTTTTATGTAGATGGTCTAATCACTGGCTGCTGAAACAATCCAGCAAGCGAGACCAATAAAGTTCTCGTCTCAGCTTGTCCGAGTATCGTCCCGAGTTTCCTCGAAAACGACGAGACCATACGAGACTCTCGTGGGCACCACTAATGGAACAACAAACACATAATACAATAGACAATAGCAGAAATAATAGTTTTAGAACTACATTGGTTGGGAAGAAAAGTCATAAAACCTGCATAAAGTCGAATTCCTGACCAATAATAAATAATCTGTTGTTTTTTTTAAAGATAAAAGTCAAAATGACATTATGTTGGCAATACAATGTAAAATTGTCAATGCTTCCAAATTTTTTATGTACAAAAGGCTTGTGTTGCCAACATAGTTACTAAATTTTTGACTTGGGGAATTATTTAAAAAAAAAAAAAATCGCGGTCGACCATGATCTTCTTGAAATCGATGAACCACTTTTTCTAGGAAGCTAAGACCTTTGTAATCGCCAAAGTATCAACATTTTAATGAATGCAAGTTTAGGTGAGGTACGCATCAGATGTGAGTTATCGGGGTCATAACTCACTAGGTAAGTTATATAGGCCACAAGTATTTTACTGAATTATCGATAGCTTCCTACTTTTCTTTTAAAGCAATGCATATTTTCCAAAACCTTGGTCAAACCCTATACCCATTATTTTGATTTATCCTACCTCATTACATTTGGATAGATTAACTGAATGGATTCGGATATAACCTGGTTTTCGAACATTTGACCTTGAACTTAAGAAACATAGGATCTCAAAAAGTTTTAACGTACCTACCTCTAAGTGAAACACTTTCTGTAAAATTAGAGGGAAACGAATAAAAGATAAAAACATTTCTCAAATGAACGTTTCTGCTTTATTTTAATTTCACGAAATACCCTTAAAAATACTTCTGTTACTAAAAACTAATATAAACACAAAAAGTTATCACAAATTTCAGCGAAATCAAATAAAAATGAAAAAAGAAAAGTTTCCAATAGTCAAATTAACAAATATAGTCCTAAGAATATAATACCTATGAAAAAATTACCAATGTGATTGTGATAACAAAATAAAGAGATTCCAAAGAAATAAAGTTGAATACTAGCTAAGTAAATAATATGCACAGCCAGTATTAGTATATACTTATTTGTAGGACCAAGAGAAAAATGAAAATGGCAATTCAATTTGGTACAAAAAAAATAAATTCGTGATCCTGAAGATGGTTAAAAAATGCCCCACCCCCTTTTACATAAACTAATATTTCTTGATAGAGTCGTGTGGATTCTGGTTATATCGAGGCCATTTTTCTTTATATGTAGCAACATGAACTTTCTGTGACAACATATTCCCTGTTAGCAACGATGACTTATGATTATCTCGGTGATTGTGATATAAACGAACTAAAACTTCTCTTCCGCTGGTAATCAATTTACAAAGACATTTGGTCTTACGATAATTGCTGCACCTCCAATGGGTCTCCTGAAGTGTTCTCTGTTCAAAAGCGTACTCGTAGCCATCAAATATAAGTTTTGGGTGAGTTTTGCCTACATCGACGAATATGGTGCCGTTCAAAAATTTGGTGTCTGCAAAAAAAAGTTAATTCAAAACTGAGTTGACAAACGCGTTTTACCAAGGAAAGTCCTGCTTTTTGAGTTTTTCTTTTGAATGAAAATCTGTTATGTCCGAGACTAGAGAAGAATGCAACTGTTTTAAGGAGCTGGTTCTGTGGAGGGACTCTGGAAAAAAGAGTGGCTAGAACTGAATACAAATGTTAAGCTTATGTTAGCAATCCTTATGGCATCCATTTGAAATAGATCTCGTCCGAGAGAGGTCCGATAATGACTCAGGCCGTAGAATAATGGATATGCGAGAAATAATTTTGTGAAATTATCATATTATCGGAACGATGGTCAGATATCGTGCAGACGTCAATTCGAGGTTTCCGCAGTGGCTGATAGTTGGAGTTCTGAAGACATGGCTACATTGTATCAGAGACTCTTCCGGCACCTTCCCAACAAAATATGATGCGCTTGTTAATTCGTTAGAGCATCGGTATGGGGATCAAGATCCAGCTTTATCAGGAAAAGTTAAGAATAACAAGAGCAGAAATGGGAGAACAACTGTGGGAGCCGGAAATGTCATCAACGGAAGTAGATATATAAATTTACCGAGAATTCTGCTCGTAATGAAAACATCAAGAATCAGCGAAACTCCAATCAATATACATAGTGAAATAGGAAGCGACCTGGTTAGAAAAAATTAAGATCTATCACACCGTGCTAATTATTGATATATAAGACAAGTTGCCCAAACCTAATCAAATGTCCGTCACCGCAAAAGCTACACAAACTGTGAAATAAACACAGTAACACCGAACAAATTACATGTGTCCACTTGCAGAATGATTCTGGGAGCCGCGTTGGACTAGTAAAATTTACCGAGCAATTGCCACAAGACTATCAAAATCAAGAATGCCGATGCCATAGCTACCTATGAGCCTGTCAAAGGGGTTTCAAAGTGTGAAGCTAAAGAATGTCGGGGAATTAGGGAAAGAGAGAAAATAAATCATCTAGCTACATTCTGAGACAATTCCAGACATTTTGGCAACACCTATCCTCTGCAGAACCAAGAAGCCTCAACAATTCGTTTAGTATAACAAGGAATCTTTGAAGATAAAAATGGCGAAGCTGGTAAAACGAACATCATTAAGCGTGAAATCAATACCTGCATTACTTACTCAAACCGTCCTAGAAGACCACACAAGAAGAAGTAGAGTCACTAGTAGATAGTAAGCTACCAGATTTTGTGTTGATTACAGAAAGTTCAACGATGGAACCAAGGAACATAGATCCATTATTGGCTATCTCCAAATTGGTTTTCTTCTTTGGATTTGAAAAGTAAATACTGGTAGGTAGAAATCGAACATGAAACAATATGTTCTAGTCCTATATTAGGCATGCATGGAAAATTTGTTTTGGACATAGGCGCGAGCACACGGATATCGAGGCTGCACTGTCGGAAATAAAAGAGAGGGTCATTGAATAGTACTATAGTAGTGCGAAAGAAATTTCTGCGTTGCTGAAAGGAACAGTGGATCATTTTCACAAGTACATGTATGGACAAAAATTTCTCATACAAGAACTGAACTTGCTGCGCTCAAATGGCTTTTGAACATGAAAGAATCAGAATTACAGGTACGAAGATGACTGAAGTAGTTGTAATAGTACAATTTTCAAATCAAACATCGTTCTGGTAACTGCATAACAACGCAGAAGCCTTATCCAGGTAGCAATGCTCAGTTCACTGCAAGCTGCCTCAGATCAGTGCGAAGGAGTTTCTGTTAGAAGACTCCGATATGAAACGAATTAGGAATGCAATTCCCGAACAGCTTAGAAGTGACCAATTAGAAGAGGGACATTAACCCATAGGAAACTGGCAAATGCAACCACGATATTTCACCTAGAAGCTTAACTTTCAAGGTGCTGTGGGCTCATTGTTAGGCAAAAATGGTTCACTGAAACGGACTTGGAAGATCGCAGATGGTAAGGTGGTCCAAATGCGATTGGTCCTGCTCAGGACCAAAGTTATTCAAGTTTTAGAAGAAGTTCATAATGAGACCTACGAGGCTCACTTGGGAGTCAACAAGTTCTTGGACAAGATTCGTGAACGATATTACTGGGTTAACTATCATCGCAGAAGCACAGCTAAAAAGAATCAAGTACATACTAATGTAATCGGAGATTTAGCACTATCCTAACTACAATTCATGTTTTGGCTGAAGGAAAAGGTACCCAAATAATGAGGAATGGTGAAAACTAAGTTTATCTCCGTACCTCAAAAACTTTCACATTTCCCAACCAATTTTTTGATGGTGCACTTTTCTGTCAATAGGCTGAGAATGGCGGTGAAAGTACTTTTATTGGAGAACATTCAAGATTCTTTGATCTTAACTCCTTATATCTAGTGAACGTGAGATTCATCCATAAATCATTAAAGCCATGTTCGAGTAGAAAATTGTCATAAAACAATATACATTCTCCATCGAAATGTTTCCTTTGGCGTAAAATCCACTAACCTCATTAATAGGGATTCTAGTTTTCGAAAAATTATACCAAAAAAAAATTATCCCATTTCCAATGGTTATTTTTCTATAAGCGTGCGGGAAATGGCTCTTCCCGCACAATTTGCTATGCGGGAAGACTTTTTTCCCGCACTTGTGCGAGAAGAGATTTCTTCCCGCACTCAGTACGGGAAGAGTTTGAAATAATCATTGTGACATAGAATTGTTTGTATTGTCGATACACCTATACCTTTACCTTTAATACCTTTACCTTTTTTTTATAAATACCTTTCAATACATTTTTAATTCTACCTTCTGCACAATCGCATTTTATTTAAATTAAACTTCTCGTAACATCAGCTTCAGTATGCTCGTAGAAAAAATATAGTTCCTAACTCTTGCGTGAAGACATTTCCGCACTCGTTAGGAAAATAGCTATTTCATATTTATTCAAAAATGATCGAGATTTTTTTTTGTGAATGCGATCTCTAGATCAAATAGGTTTGATTAAATTGTTTTTTTCTACAAGCGTTTGGTTATGACGTTTTCACATGACCATTTTTCTAGTATTTGAGTTATGTCATGAGACTCATAACACAACTAGTGGTGTAATGGACTAGGTTATGAATCTATAACACAACTATTTTTGGTGGTTTAAAAAATGTCAAAGCTAAATCTTTAAAGGAAAAATGAAGGTAGACCACTACTAATAAAAATAAACGAAAATAATTGAAAAATATTATTATTTTTCGCTTTGTAGATAAAACCTTGTACATCACACGTGCGTTAAAACATGACTACAAAACTCGTGTGATTAGAACGACCCAGTCTACGACCTCGTCGTTCTAATCTTTCATACTCGTTATTGTAATCATGTTCATGAACACACTTGTAGTGTAAATAACTATTAATTTGCCAAAAATTTGAAGGGTAAATAAGAAAAATGGTTCTTTTCTCTTCGCTTACCTTTTCCTTGGTGCACATCGAAATTGAATATCCTCTAGGATTGTTTTTGGCGAAATCTTGCTCACAAGTAGTGTCTCTCCTCCTTTCCTTCCTTGAGTCAGGGACTGTTAAATTTAAAACTAACAATATGGATATTTTTGGATTAATAAAAAAAAAACTGGAACATAACTTTTAAAACTGATATCTATGCCTGAAATTTTAGGTAGGTACCTAGCAAACAATTCTAATCATTGCGTTTGTACAAATATTATCATTTTTTTATGAATTGTTGGTTCAAAACAAAATTAACAACCTTTCGGCTATTAAAGTAGGTACATAATATCATAAACTGTGGCATCTGTTTGGATACTTTATTTCACAGTCCCGGATGTACATGACTTTTTTGTACAGACGATCCAATTAGTTAATTTGATTCGAGTGAAATGTATTTTTAAATAAAAGGTGTCTCTGTCTCAGAAATATTTCCGGTTGTGGATCCGTCCTCTGGCACAGTACGCATGTTTCGGAGAAACGAGATGGTTGGCAAACGTTTGGCAACATTGTTAAGTTTTAGTTGCAACGGAGCGTTTTACAGGGCCGCAACGTGCTTTTTGTATTCGTGCATTTTATAAAAACAATGATTCTTATGTTCGACGTTTGTACAGAAATCATTAGAACATAGCAGGAATGGGAGATGTCTCAAGTACAAATTTGATAAAATATTGGACACTGGGAACACGATGACCAGTTAACCTCCCGGACGCCCAAAGTCAGCTAGATCGAATGAAAATGACGAGTTCGCCAGTCCGTTATCGAGGATCTCTGGCAATCACTGAGATTGCGTGCAACGTCTCTAACTTTGGATAAGTCGACTGTTCATCGCATTATTCACAAGGATATGCATTTCCACCTATACAAAATTGTTTTTACACAAAAACCACAAGATCCTGATAATTGATTAGAGTTATGTAGAACAATGAGAGAGCACTTCAACGGTTACAACAACATATATGGTTTTCTGATGAATCGAATTTTCACATTCACGGACATGTTAATAAGCAGAGCTAACGATACTGGTCCGAGCAGAACCCGCAAAATCTTCATGAGACGCCATTATACCCGCCTAAAGTTATCGTCTGGGTTACCATGTCAAGCCGACGAATCCTTGGCCTGTACTTTTTTGAGGACGATCTTGGTCAAGCTCAAACTGTTACATTATCTGAGCGCTACTGCCACATGATTAGGACTTTTTTAACTCCTGCAATTCAGATCCATGGTGGCAACAATAGAATAGTATATTATTTTATTAGGAGTAAAAGTAATACTTTTGTGACGAGTCTGTAAGTTTGCCTGCCGAACGCAGTGAGGCCGGCAATACAGACGAGTCGCAAAAGTAGGTTTTACTCCGACTAGAACACGATATTTTTTCGTCAAACCTGTCTGAATTATGGAAAAAATCAAATTTTTCTCAAATATTAATGATGTTACAGAACAATCCACCAACTAGGTGACAAAATGTCAATCTTTGCGTTGTTATGTCAAATATTCACGAGCGGAGGTAAAAGACTTTTACTTCCG